ACCCCCCCTCCATATTCGCGGCCCAGAAGTCATGCTGCTGTGAGAAGTCTGAAGGGCTGGATTTAACAATAGTTAATTCAGAGTATTAGAAGCCCCACAGGCCAGATGACCAAGATCTATAGACCAGATCCAGCCTGTAGTTGAAATGTTTAACATCCTTGGTCTAATTTGCTCTTAAAAACCTCTACTGATCTTCCTTAGGTAATCTGCTCCAGTGCTTGGTATTCTTACAAGCAGGAAGACTTTTTCTTGTGTTTAACCTAAATCTCTCTCTTGTTGCAATGTAAGCCTGTTCTTTCTCAGTGCAGAACAGTTCATAACTTTCATCCTTGCAATAAACTGTTGTGTGCTTGAGGGCTAGTAGCATGCCTCTCCAATCATTTCTTCTCTCGACTAAACAAACCCAGTAATTGCAACTTTTCCCCTCAGGTCATGTTTTATGGAACCCTGGCCAGCTTTATGACTCCTCTCTGGACTCTCTTCAATTAGTTTACCTCTTTCTTGAAATGTGATACCCAAAATAGGACATCATATTCCCACTGGGACCTTGCCAGTGCTGAGTGAAGCGGAGAGATTACTTAACATGTTTATAGAAATCCTCTTATTTATACATGTCAGAGAAGTATTCTCTTTCCTTTTTGTTTTCTTTTGTCATGCTACAGTATTGACCCATGTTCAATTTTTGATGCCCCTCCAGATTGGTGTTCCCCATCTTGTATGTATGCCATAGTTTATTCTGACTTAAAAGCAGTACTTGGCATTTTTTCTTATTGAATTTCATCACAGTTATTTCAACTCATTTTTCCAGTCAAGATCATTTTACATTTTGATCCTGTCCCTTAAAGTACCTGTAACCCTTCCCAGTTTGGTTGTTCTGCAAATTTAGTAAGTGTACACTCTATTCCATCATCCAATAAAATATTGAATAGTACTGGGCCTCATACCTCTTTCCAGTCTGAGTGATTAACTTCTCTTTGATTATGGTTTCCAACCAGTTATGTACCTACTTTTGAAGCAGTTTCCTCTAGCCTGTTTCCCTAGCTCATTGAAGAGCATGTTCTGTGAGACGAATGTAAAGTCAACATATATTACATCTACTGCTTCTTCCCATCCAAGAGGCTTTTTGTCTTTTAATAAGAAGGAACTGGAAATTAGATTAATTTGACATGACTTTTTCTTGACAAGCCCATGTTGACTATTACTTTTCAGCAGGGATCTTGGCTTTCTCTGTTTAAAAAAAAAAAAAATAATAATTCTAACCTTCTGATTAAAATCCTCCAAATTTGTGTTATTCCATGATTAAATGAAATGTCACCATATGTATAGGTATCAGTTGAACACAATGTTTAATTGATATATTTACAACTTTTAAGCAACTTGGAAGCCGACCAGTGCCTCAATTATTATAATAAAATAAATTCTAAATACAAAATCTAATGCCAAAATATATAGGCATTTTTAACTTGAAAAATTAGAGCTCCCCCTGCCCCCTTCACTCACCAGGATGCAGGTTCAGCTGTATTTGTCCCTGCTACTGCTTTGTGGTGCTGACCATCCCTGCTATGCCAGTGCCCTGCTCCTGGCCATGCTGTTACCCCTCACTCCTGACCTACAGCCCCATGGACCTGATCAGGGCAATGCATAGGGGGTGCACCGGAGTGCCCCCCTGCTGCTGCTAGGTGAGTAGGGGACACCTCACCTTGACACCTATGGTGGCACAGCACTCCTGGCAGCAGCAGCAGCAGCACTGAGCCTCCCTGCCCTGCTCTGGCTTCCCACACGAGGACCCACTTGCTGGTCCATGGAGGTGGCTCCTGCCTGATGCCAGTTTGGCCAGGCTGCTGCCCGGTGCCCTGCTGTAGGCTTAGAAATTTGTGGGGGCATGTGCCACACATTGCCTGTGCTACCCCTGCCACACCACACATCACCTATGACCCACCCTACACCCCCACATCACCTATACCCCAACTCCATACCTGCAGGGAGTTGTGGGAGCTGCTCTCTACCATACTACCTAGTTGTATTGCCAATCAGATGGCACGTGTACATGGCACCCTCTGCTTCTGATCGGTCTCCTCCTGCTCCCCCCAGCCCCTTGCAGGCTGGAACTCTGCCAGCCTGCAAGGGGAAACCTGCAGTTTCCTGGATTTTTTTCCTTTAAAGGGGAAAATCTGTGAAACATATCAAGTGACAGTAAAGGGGAATATCCATGTTGTTTTGCAGGAAATTGAAAACCCAGATCCTTGCTCATTGGCTTATCTTTGGTGCTGCCTAACCAATTCTTTGACTTTGTTTGTTTGTTTGTTTTTTGTTCCATTATCTTTCTTGGAATTGAAGTTAGGTTAAATAGTCCATAATTCCTTGAGTCTTCCTTTTTAGGGGTAAGCACTCTGTTTGCCCATTTCCAGTTCTTCTGGAATCTTGCCTGCCTTTCAAAAATTCTTAAAGATAATCACTAAGATATCTGACTCTGAAAGAGCTCTTTTCATTTTGACTGGGACTTTAGAATACGTACAGTAATCTGAAGCAATCCTGTAATGTCTCCTACATGTTGAAGAAATAGTCAGCACCCATAAACAAGAGGAATAGTACATGGCAGGTGATGTGTTGTGTTACCTCAGAAGAACCAGAGCAGTCAGGTAATTGAGAATTTTGGCTCACTAAACAGAATACTAAATAGAATTCTAAGAAAAACAAAGTTATTGATAGTCCATCGTCTCAGCAGTGCCTACTACCACACTATGCTTACAATCAACACCAGACTTGAGGAAAATGTGGATTCTCATTTCTGTGTGAGGCTGATACTTTTATTTCTGCTACTAAAAACAGTGCTTTTGCTGTAGACTATAACTTCTCAGGTAGTATTTTACCAAAGTTCTAGTCATTGTCATTTTTTTTTTTTTTTTAACTCCAGCCTGCATGTCTTGAGCACTTGTCTACAGTCTGCTCAAATATCAGGTCTGAAGATATTTTTTTCGTATTCTTGTATCCATTGTCTTAAACAGGTTAAAATTAAATGAAATCTTTGTCTTGCAATTTGTTTAAAGGTGTTTCTGTCTCTCTTGCTTCTCTCTTTGGGGAGTTTTAAGCTTAGGCTGAAGGAAAAGAACTAACCAGTTGTGCTGGCCAGAGCAGTTGAGACATTGAAGCCTCACAGGCAAGATGTGTACAAATCAGTATATCTATAAGGTTCAGTGACAAAATTAGTAGACTCCTCTGTTAGTTAGCTCTGAACATTATTTCTCAAAACAAAACAAGAATGATACCTTACCACTATTAAAGTAACACTGAAGAAGTTCAATTGAGCATTCACAACTCAGGAAAAATCCAAAATGTATGACCACAGCAGCTCAGCCATCTTTCACAAACATAGCGCTTGCTATTTCTGCTTTGTGCGTTACCTTAATGTTCTCTGGAACTGCTGGGAATGATCTAATAATGGGCAACAGGATGTAGTCTGAAAGAAACATAATTGCAAAGCCAAATGAGACCTTCTGTGACTTCGCACCAATTGAAAAGCAGATGAGCTGTATGAAGGGCATTCAGCACCTAACAGCAAAATACATTAAACATGTTTTTAAGTACTTTGCTGAATTGAGTGGGGTGGGAAACCCTGCGTAAATTCAGGGCCTAAGGGAACTCCTGAAGTTGTCTTTAAAATGAAGATATTGCGTGTATACTAACTTTAGACCTTAGCTGTTCTATGTTCGAATCTGTAGTCACACTTCCTCCCTCTAGCTGCGATCCTAATCAGCAGGTGAACAGTGACTTCCAGCTGACTTTTTAAGTGTTAATTAACTTGTCTATCCAGGATACTTATCAGTTTAGAAAAAAAAACAGACACAATGTTGTTTTCAGCTTTAACTGAAATAACTTTATAAAGCACCTGCTCACCTTATCCAAATCCTCCTTGGTGCAGGATTATTAAAAAACCTGAAAAGAAAATTAAAAAAAGAAGCCAGAAAGAGCCCTATTTTACATCTGTAGCATAGCTAAACTCCAGTAGAAGATGCTTCAGTGCTATCAGCTCAGCGAGCATTTGGGAGTTATTCCACAGGAGGCACAAAAAAAAAGCCCCACCAGCAAGCAGTAGAGGCAATAGCAGCTGTTCTCAAGGAGAAGGTTTATGTCAGCACAACTTACACAGCCTCTACTCAGAAAGTTTGTGTCAGCAGCCATAAATGCTAGCCTGTCAGCATTTCTATTTTATTTCATACACAAAATGCATATTACTTAACAATTATGCCAAAGGCAGGGAATGTTTTTTTGATAACTCAACTTGGAAGTAATGTCTTCCTTCAGGAGCAATTTCTGTCATATGCAGCAGAAAACAACGTGTGAGTAAAAGCAAATCTTCACGGCTCACCCCTTTTTATTTAAGATTGTCCTTGAAAATCCAGTGCTTTTCATGTTATAGTGCAGTCAATGACCTATGTGCCTGATATCGATAGGTTCCTATCGACTTCAAGGAGTTTCAAACAGGCTGTAAAGTTATGTTGACAATCATTTTATATAGAATTTAGATTTTGTATTGAATAGGATAGCTTGGATAGGGATGATCCTGCTGCAGGCAGGACCATCTGGAGATGACCTCTGGAGGCCTCTTGCAGCCTTACTTTTCTATGATTCTATGTTTGTAATGAGGGGAGAATATGATGCAATATAATGTATGGACCCTTCTACTCTCTTTCTCCCGAGGGACTTCAGTAGACAGTTCATTCCAAACAGAGTCTAGCAATTCGGTTCCAGTAGACAGTTTCAAACCAACAAATATAAAAGGTAAGGCAGAGGCACTTGAAGGACTAAGAGAACATCATATAGGCTGCTTGCAGATGTTAGTAGTAACCCAAAAAAACAAAAACTGCTTTACTGAAAGAAGCAACACATTGCTTTGACCTGTCTGTATAGATCAGGTGCTTCAGCAGGGCTTTCTGGTGCTTTTAGCTAAAGCTGACTTAACCAATTATTAGATAAGTGCCAAAAAAGCCCCACTAAAGTGCCCGATCCATACAGATGTTAGGCAAGTCAGGTCCAACTAAAGTGCTGCCTCTTCTGTGCATATGCTGGGCTCAGCATGGGAGTGTGCTGAGTTTAAAGTAAAGAGCCGCTTTTTTTTTTTAACATCTGCAAGCAGCCATACAGGCTAATGTTTACTAGTTCTTGTAGAGTCCCTTCCTCCATCCCAGGCTAATATTTAACCAGCCTTTGATTTAATTCTCTCCTTGAGCATGGGTTTAGATATTTTTTTAAATAAGAATCCAGAAGTTGTCTTAAAATAGTCACTTCAATAATAATGATGATGATACTATGTTTGAAGAAATGAATGTTAAAAAGGCAAAATTTCACCCCTAATCCTGCCAATATCTGAAACACTCCAGCATGTAGCCCTTACACCTTCACTATTAAGATAAGTCTCCACCTTTTTAAAATAAATATTGGCATGTGTTTCAAAGTACTTAATGAGGGACTAGAAGAAAAACAAATAACTTTCAGATATTCCATACTGACGCAATTATTGTTTAGGCAAGGAAGTTGAATTGACTTACCCATATAAGTTGTTTTAAATCTATTTAGTTAGACCAGTGGTTGTTATCTATGTGGACATGAAGAGTATAGACAGACATAAGATCATAGGAAAGTAGGGCAGGAAGAAACCTCATGAGGTAATATAATCCAGGCCTCTGCTCAAGGGTGGATTGTCCCTGACTAAACCATTCCAACCAAGCATCTATCCAACTGGCTCTTGAAAACATCCAAGTATGGAAATTTCTACAATTTTTCCATGTAGCCTGTTCCAATGCTTGACAATCCTCATGGTCAGAAAGTTCCTCTTAATCTCCAACCTACATTTCCTCTGCTGCAGCTTGAGGACTTTGTTTCTAGTCCTGTCTCTACAGCCACAGAGAAAAGATCATCTTTTCTAGAATTGTCCTTCAGGTATTTGAAGACTTATCAAATCTCCCTTCAGGCTTCTCTTCTCCAGACTATATAACTCTAGTTCTTTCAGCCTTTCCTCCTAAGTCTTGCTTCCCAGGCCCCTAATCATGTTTGTTGGTCTGCAACTGGACTCTCCAATATGTCCACATCTTTCATGAAGTGTGGGGCCCAAAACTAGAAATCCTACTCCAAGTGAAGCCTCACCCGTTCCAAATAGAGCAGAGGAATCACTTCCTTGATTTGCAAGTGACAGTCCTGTCAATACAACCCAGTATATTGTTGGCCTTTTTTTACAACAAGAACACACTGTTGACTCCTCCATTTTATGGTCTACTCTAGCCCCCAGGTCCTTCTCTGCAGTCCTGCAAGTTAGAGAAATAGAGAAACTAGTACCTACACCTTTTGATGGCATGCTATACCCTGGATGGCTGAGGCAGCTCAGGCCAAAATGTCTGGCGGCAGATTGGAAGCAATTGAGGGTTCTAGATGGCAACTGTCACCTGCTTCCCCATGGTCATGTTGGTTTCCTCTGAGGCCAGGGGTTCATCTTGGCATACACTTTGCACAGATCTGATAATCTTGATGTTATGCCACCACTGTTCACATTCCCAGGGTCTCAAGGCTATCCACTCCTATCAGTTACTGCTCTTGTCTTTGACCCATAAGGGGAAGTACATTGTCTGCAGGTGGTCCCAAGGAAAGCAGTACTCCATGGAGTCCCTTTATTTCTTCTTTCTCAGGTATGTTATTTGTGGGCTCAGAGAGCATGTAACATAATTCAATTGCCAGGGCCACGAAGCCTTGAGTTTACTATGCTGAGGCATAGCTGATACATTAGGAGACAGAATGAGAAGCATAGCTAGGTAGGTGAAGACTCTACACTGTAAACTGGCGGGCAGAGCCAGTAGCTTGTGGTACTGCTCAGTAAGAGACTGTAGGACAAGGAGATGATAGGCATCCATTCTCTGTTCCTCCTGGCAATGCAATGTTCATGAAACAGAACAACCCTTTTGAGGCAAAACTGATCAGTTCTGCTATGGCAGAGAGCACTGAGTAGAAGCCTGGGGAGGGGAATTGAGCAGTGTTTCTGCTGGGTCCATCTGGCTGTGCTCAGAAGTATCCGAGAAATCATGGCAGAGCGGGATGATCACCAGCCTTCTAGCTGTGGGGTGGTCCAACAGCATCAGCTGCCGCATGTTTTGCGGTGCTGTAGCTGGGAGTGGGGTTATACATTTGTATGGTACTGACATGCTGTAAGGGAGAAATACTTTAAACACAGGCAGGATTTGGAGCACTTTACTTATGCATCTGTCCATGCCTTCCACAACCCTAAAACTCACTTAAGTGTCCACCTCAGGGGCACAAAATACAGCTTTTATGAACTAGGCCTTAGCTAAAGGGAAATGTTTTGGAGCTGAGGTGAAATTAGGATTTCAGTGCAAACAGTCACTTGTAATGATTCTTAAGAGAAATATTTTTGTGGTATTAGCTGTCTCCAAAGGTCAAACATTATGAGACTGCCTTCTCTCCAGTCTCTTCTGCGCCACTCCCCAAATCATAACATTTTTATTTTAAATAATCTCTTTATTTTGAAACTTTCTGTTTGCTGCCTTATTTTCATCCCTTGAGGCACACTTACTGCTTGTGTTGAAGGTTTTCTCCACAATCTGGAGGCCCAGAAAAAGATACTATTTTTAAAATGAGAGTTAAGAGTCTCAAGAAACATCATGATAGCAACACCTTAAAGCATACAATCATGATAAAGGTAGTAAACTTCTCTGCATATTTGAAAAAAATTACATTTCTATGAGTTGTATTGATTAATTATATTGGCTATCCCTCTATACAAGGATGATGTCTGCTGGGGGTGGGGGCTTAGTGGTGAGTTTTAAGGTGGCTGAGTCCAATCCGTGAGGCACGGCAAAGCAGCTTTCTGAAGGATACGCTGGCACAGTGAATCCTATGTTCAATTTCTACATTAAGACCAAATGACTGGGAGAGGTGACTGGCAAGGTATGGGAAATGCTCCACATTTTCCACGGGTTCTCCACAAATGGTAATTTGTGGGTGGAGGGACGTAGCTTGTGCAGGGGCAGGCTGATGGAACACCTTGGTCTTCTCAATGTTAAGGGAGAGTCCCAGGCTGCAATAGGCACCTGAGAAAAGGTCAAAGGTGAAATGCAGATTGGTTTCAGTGTGCACAAGGATAACACACTCATCAGCATATCAAAGGTCAGTGACACCAGTCTTGGTAACTTTTTAACTTTGCTGTGAAGGTGCCACAGGTTGAAAAGCTGAATTTCCATTCAATACTCAACCCCAATTCCGGGAGGAAAGTGGTTGCAGGTGAGAATCAAAATCGCAGCAAGATAGATGGAAAAAAGGGTTGACACAGCCCTGCTTGACACCAGTATAGATGGTAAATGGGTCTGTCTCTATTCCATTGCAAAGGACTGTGGCAGTCATCCCATCATGGAGTAGCCCAAGGACACTAATGAGCTTCAGGGGACAACCAAACCTAGTCAGCATCTTCCATAAGGTCTCAGGACTGATGGAGTCAAAGGCCTTGGTTAGGTCAATGAATGCCATAAACATCTGCTGGTGTTGCTCTCTACACTTCTAGATCTGTCATGCAAAAAAAAATCATGTTGGTACCACAAGATGGTCTAAAGCCACACTGGGATTCTGGAAGGACATCTTCAGCAACTGGGAGGAGGCAGTTCAGACGGATGCGAGTAAGAATCTTCCTGGCAATGAAGAGGAGAATAATGCCTCAGTAGTTCCCACACACTGACTTGTTCCCTTTCTTGAAGATGGTCATAATGTTGGCATTCTTTAAGTCAGGTGGAACTTCCTTGTTAACCCATATTTTGATGAGAAGTTGGTGACATTTTGCACTAACGCTGTTCCACCAGCTTTGAAGATCTCTGTGGAAATGCCATCTGATCCTTGCACCTTATTGTTCTTGTTCTGAGTGATGGCATACCAGACTTCCTTGAAGGATGGGGGATCAGCAAGATTACTATTACTGGGTATTGAGAGAGGGACTCGATGGTGGCAGCTGAGCTGTCAGATTCGCAGTTGAGTCTTGAAGTGCTCCTTCCAACATTGCTTTATGGATACATTGTCTGTGAGAAGGGTGGAGCTGTCTTGGGATCACAAAGGGATTGGGCCCCAAAGCATTTGAGCCATTGGAATGTGACCTGTGGATGGCTTTAATTGTTTGAAAGAAGCTTCTTATGTCATGTTTGTCAGCAAAACTCTGGATCTCCATGGCCTTTGCTTGCCACTGCTGGTTCTAGATATCCTGTAGCCTCCTCTGAACCGGTGGTAAGCCTCTCATTTTTGCTGCTTGGAAGGTTCATTTTGCCAACTGCAGAGCATGGCTCATCTGATGGATAGTTCCTAGGATTTCCTCATTGTTCTCATCAAACCATTCTTGGTGATGGTAAGTGGAGTATCCAATTGCTTCAATGCATACCTTGTGAATAACATTCTTAAGCTCATCCCAATGTGCCTGGATGTCCTTGATGTCATCAGGTAGGTCGGAGAGTCTCTCAGTAAGGCATTGCTGAAGAGCCTTGCATCTAACTTGGTCTTGGAGTGCCTTGATGTTAAAACTCTTCTGCATTCCTTTTGGTGGTTTATAGTGTTGTGGTGCAAGCTGCATGTCCATGATTGATCTGATTAAACGGTGATCCATCCAGTAGTCATCTGCACCTCTGGATGATATTGGACATCAGTATAATCATGGGCTCTGACAATAATATAGTCAGGAAGGTGCCAGTAATTGGAGCATAGAGGTTGAGCAAGTCATGCCCTGCACATTTGCTAAGGAGGAAGATACCACTGGAGTTGACTTTTCCCACCCCGTTTCCCAATGGTGCCACTCCGGAGTTCAGAGTTTCGCCCAACTCTTGCATTGAAATCACCCATGAAGATGAGCTTGTTTTCCTTGGCAGTGGTAGTCAGGACTGTCAAGAGCACAGTAGAACTGTTCCTTGATGACTTCATCATTGTCAAGCAGGGTGTGTATGCACTGATGACTGTAGCGTATCAGTTGTTACTGAGCTTGAGGTGGAGAGTCATAAGGTGTACGTTAATGCCCACAGGGACTTCTGAAAGCTGGCTGGCAATCTTGTTCTTGATGGCAAAGCCAACCCCATGAATAGGCCTCTCTTCAGGTGAATTTCCTTTCCAAAAAAAAAGGTGTAGCCACCTCCTTTTTCTTTCAGCTGGCCTTCGTTAATTAGATACATTTTAACAACAAACTTTTTTTTTTTATTCTCTTGTGTGCATGTGTGCGCCTGCACATTCCATGTTTGGTGGTTTTCCCATGAAACTTAACTGGAGAAGGACTAGGGCTCTTTTCTGTTAGGATTCACTCTTTTTTTTTTTGTGTGTGTGTATGTTTTCAATTGAGCTGAAATCGACGCACTAATTTTATGTAACAAAACAAAACAGCTCCTCATTCCTTCATGACCAGCCACCTCAGACCAAAACACCTTTGTTCATCATTGCTCAGTCATTATCATTAACTCTTGAAATAATATTAATTTAGCTACTGAAGCTGTAAATGCCTCAAAGTCCACAATTTTTCTCTTTATCAGATAATAAAGCTTATTCATTGTTGATGGTGGAGGAACTGAATTATTTAATAAGGGCAAATCCCAGTTCTGCTTAGGTAGCCCAAGTAAATACCTTATAGGTATATGAGTGTCCCAGCATTCCTTTCTGCCATGTTTCCCTAGAGGCCTCTGAACATAGCCAGATGGAACCAAACTGTAACAGGCTTGGGTGATCTCTCTGCCCAGAGTCTGGCACCTCTAGCAGCCAGACTGGCCTGTCAGTACTCCCCAGCTTCCTCTGTTTCCTATCTCTCTCCTGCCATGATTTTGCAGTTAGATACAGAAAATGAGGGTGCCTATTACTTCTCTCCTTTCACCCTACAGGTGCACTCCCTCTTTAAGAGGGCTATGATGCCCTTAGGACCTCCATTTCCTAGCAGCCCTAGTGGTGGTGGTGGCTCCATGTGACTGCTGCTGCTACCAAACCCAGCCCTGTTTTCTGGGGACCCTGGCCAGTCTGCTCTGCACCCACCACTGGAGACAGGATCTGCACAGGCTGGGTAGCTGGGATGGGGGCATAACTAGGAGTGAGATGGGTAGGCAGGCTGGGGAGACCCTGGATTTATGGGGCAATGACATGGGGTCAGAGCTGTAGCCAGGCAGAGCCATGATCTGCTACCCACACGCCCATGTGACAAGCATGGGTTCCATGGGCAGGGGTGTGCAGGGAGTGGTGCTGTCACCACCCCAAAATCCCAGCCCTGGACACAGCTCCCCACCCAACTGGGCACCCTGCCTGTGTGGCTCTTGGCCAGTCTCCATGGAGACCTTGGGGTGGTGACACAGGGCTAGGGCAAAGCCACAATGTGTTGCCCTATGGGGTCAGGCCAACTCTCAGGATCTCAATATTGTGCTGTTAGACAGGAGGGTGTGACACAATTGCACATATACAAAACACACAAATCAATTAGGTGCGTGTGCGCGCACTACCAGCCCAGGCACATACACATCCAAACCAGCCTAGGTACATGCATACCTATCACCAATTCAATCACATACACTATACACCCCAAAAATTAGACACAGATCACTAATTCGTACATCATGCACACGATGACATACACACACACCAGTTCACACGCATACAACCCACCTACACATAGGTAAGTTCCTAACTTGGATGGTACAGTGTGTATGTGTGTGCTTGGGGTACCTGGAATACTTGAGGGAAGGGGGGAGAGAGAGAGAGAAAGATGCCAGAACCAGGATTAGAACCAGTGGACTATAGAGAAGCTATCTGAGGAACTGAGGCTTGGTTTTACTTAAGGTAGACTGGGGCTGGAAACTGAGGCAGACAGCTGAGATGGGGGGGGGCGGCAGATAAGTGGTGGCAAGGAGGAGACGGCCAGGAAAGAAACTGAGGCAGAAACCTGTTTGCTCAGGGGAAAAGGAAAAGGCAGTGGGGATAAGACAGTGGAAAAGAAACGGGGGTGTGGAGGCAGAGAGGAGCTCAGGACAGGTGTTGGAGGTGCAGAGATTGGAGCAGGGCCAAACCATAGTAAAGCAAAACCCAACTTAGGGGTCCAAATAACTGTTTATTAAGCAGACAACACACTACACAGCCCCATGAAGTTATTGGTTCACACACAAGCACTCACAATGGCAAAGGAGAAAGAGACTCAGTGGAAGGGTTGGAGTCCAGGTGGGGAAGAGAAGCAGAGTCCAAATCCTTGGTTGAAGAGGGGGTAGGGGGTGATAGCTACCTATCCAGGCTGGAAAGGGGTCCTTATCCAGTAGGTGTTGTCTGGGGGTAGGCGTTGGGGGGGGAAGTCGCTGGCAGGGCCTTTGGGTGGATAGATGGTGTGGCATGGTGCTGGTCCATTGTATTTCGATCATTCCCAATCACTCTCATTCATCCGGGAACCAATTTACATGGGAGGGGTACATGAATCATGCAGTTGCAACACAGGGGATGCCCAGGCAGAGGACACAAGATGGAGGCTTGACATACAACATGGAAACTTGACATGATGTACGCTAACTTACATATATAGGCCTAAAACAGTAATCACACAATATCAAAGCAGTACAAACATAATAATTATCACTTATAAAACAGTGGGTATCAATATCAAAATAGCAGGGCACTTATTAGCAAAGAGGGGAGAGAAAAATAAAACATTACCTAAAATAAAATGTTAAAGCTTATCCTACATCTTAGCTTACTTATACTTATCTATAGGGAATAGAGAGGGAGAGAAAAAGGCAGAAATGGTTGGGGAAGGGGAGGTAATGCATTTTAAAATAAATTAAAAAAAAAAAGGGGGGGTTTGCTACAAATGTGCTCCCTAAACACCCCTGCCCTTAGAACTGGGGCTGTGCCCCAGCCCTGCATTCTCACCACCCCAAGGTCACCTGGCTGTGCACTGTGCCCATGCAGGTCCCACCCCTGGTGGTGGGTGCAGGGTGGAGAGGCCAGGGTGCTCAGGCATTGGGGCTGAGGCTGGCAGCAGCAGCCAGAAGGAGCCACCACTACTGGGGCTGCTGGGAAAAGAAATCCGGCCATGAGCTAGATCTGTCATTTTACCCACCCCTGTCTTAGGGGCTACAATCATAACCTCCAGCTGCCCCATATTCACCCCAAGCCTTGCAGATGACTCAGTGGTCCCTTTGTAGCAGACCACTAGATCTAAAGCCACCCTGGGCCCCAAGATCCTTGGCCAGGGGTCTGTTTGCTTGGCTTCAGTCCTCTTTACCTGGCTGAGACTTCTTCGGCCTAGGTCCACTGTCTCAGACTCTAGCTTCCTGGGTCTCAGTCCTAGTAGCAGTGAATGCCTCTTGGGCACCTGCCTGTGGCCTCCTCTGCCCCTGCAGATGCAACTCAGGGTTAAGCACTGTCGAAACACAAACACAAGAAAGCCACTTTCTGAAAAAGTCACTTCTCTTTGTCTCCTTGCCTCCTTACCACCCTTTTTAAGCTCCCCTTGCATCCCTGGTGTGCGTGGCAGGCAGGGAGTGGGGGACCATGTAGGCATTGGCCAGTCCATCTCCTGAAGCCCTCTCCTTCAGAAGATCGGCTGCCTGCAAGGTGAGACTGCACTGCTAGCTCCCAGGCCCTGGTTTTATGTGGCCCAGAGCTCCAACCCTTCCTGTAAGCTGGCTCTTCAACCACACATAGGGGTTTCTGCTCTGCCTGATAATCAGCCTGTCATTGACTGCTACAGCTTAGCCCAGCTGCCTCTACTTGGCCTAATGAGCTTTGGCTGTTCCTGTCCTGTACCCTCCAGGGTCCTTAACAGGCCCCAGCTGCAGGATCTGTTTTCTTAGTTGGGCTGGCTGCTGTCATTGCTGGTTCCAGTGGGCTAAAACAGTCCTGTTCCTCTTAGCACTGCAAATAACAGGGCTGGATTTCCTTGTTACAGAGCTGAATCACTATTTGATTTTCCCCTTCTCAGGCTTCTACTCAGTGCTCTCTGCCACAGCAGAACTGGTCACTTTTGCCTCAAAAGGGCTGATCTGTTTCAAATGCATTACATTCCAAGGAGGAACAGAAAATGAATGCCTATCCTGTCATAAGTTTTGGTGCCCCCCATAGAATACTTTATGGCTAGTACTGAATTCTTCAGGATGCATTAATCATTGCAAATGGTGCATTTGCCTCCAACCAAATAGTTAGATGCTGGATTCATGTACGGTAGGTTTACATTAATCAGCTCTATCTAGACAAAATGTCTTGTACAATCATGGAAGAGTGGCAATGCATGGGGTTGTAGATTTCATAGATTTCATAGACATCAGGGCTGGAAGGGACCTCGGACGATCATCGAGTCCAGCCCCCCGCCCAACGGGCAGGAAGTCAGCTGGGGTCATAGGATCCTAGCAAGATAAGCATCCAGTTTCATCTTGAAGGTGTTCAAGGAAGGCGCTTGAACCACCTCCGGTGGCAGGCTGTTCCAGACCTTGGGGGCTCGGACAGTAAAGAAGTTCTTATGTCCAGCCTGAAACGATCTTGAAGTAGTTTGTGACCATTCAACCTCGTCATCCTTTGGGGCGCTCTGGTGAACAAACGTTCCCCCAGATGCTGGTGGTCACCCTTGATAAACTTATAGGTGGCCATCAGATCACCCCTGAGCCTGCGCTTTTTCAGGCTAAAGAGCCCCAGGGCTCTCAGCCTGTCATCGTAGGGTCTGCTTCCCTGACCTCTGATCATGCACATGGCTCTTCTCTGGACTCTCTCAAGCTTCTCCACATCCTTTTTGAATTGTGGAGCCCAAAACTGGACACAGTACTCCAGCTGCGGCCTCACTAAGGCCGAGTACAGGGGGAGAATGATGTCCCGGGTCACAGATATCATCCTCTCAGTGCTGGGCCTTTGTGGAGGGGCCAGGACAGAACAGACTGTGTGTGTATTGCTAAGGAAAAAAATTGTCTACCGAAGCACAGGGCATGAGACATGCCCACACATGTGAATGTGCATGTATCAAAGAGCTCCAGTTACTGGTAAGATACTTGATTTTTATTCTCAGATTTTTGTCCTCTGTCTTGTCATTAGGCCTGTGCGAAGTGGCAAGTATTTGCTTCAGATTTGGATTCAGCCAATTCAGAGGGACAGTGATTTGATGCAGCCAAACCGACTGGGCAAGCAGCAGCAGTGCCCACATCCCGTGCCCCCCCGCCCCGGTGGACAAGTGGCGGACAAGTGGCGGCAGCACCCACATCCTGCACCCCCCCTCCCCGCCCTAGCTAGGCAAATGGCAGCACTGCCAGCATTCTGCGCCTCCCTGACCCAGCTGGACAAGTGGTGGGCTATGCCCTTCTGTCACTTGCCCAGCTAGGGCGAAAGGGCAGGGGACGTGGGTGCAGCAGCTCTGGGAGCAGGAGCTGTGCTCTGCTGCTGCTTTGCCCAGCCGGGCTGGAGGGGGTGTGATGCAGCTGCAGCTTGCTCTGGGCGGGAGGGAGCAAGCAGCAGCAGGGCATAGCCCCCGCTCCCAGTAGTGCTGTGCCCATGTCCTGCACCCCGCTTCCCCCCTCCCCGAGTCCCATGCCCCCCCCACCCTGGCTGGGCAGCTTGTCCCAGCCCCAGTCCCTCCCACACTGTGGTGGCATTGATCTGCCCCCCCCCGCCCCCCAACACCTCTTCCCTCCCTCCTCTGCCTACCACAACAGACTTACAAGCTGAATGCAGCAGTGTCCAGCACGTTGAGGACTGCTGCCTATTTAGTCTATGGCTGCTTCTCCAAAGCGGTGCCGAATCTTTTTCGAATTGTTTAGGAGGCTTCCAATTCAGTTCGGACCTTTTAATTGGTCTCCTGTTTTGATTCGGATTTGGAGATTCGGCTGCCAAATCGAGCCAAATCTCCTCCAAATCTAATCGGCTACTAAAGCTTTATGCAGCCCTACTTGTTACATTCTTTCTTTCCAATACAAACAGCTTTCTCCCTCTTATTATTTTTCTATGAATATTTTTTTTAGTTAGTCTGCTCCTCCCTTTAATTCTTGTCCCATAGTCAAAAAGTTGAATTCTTGTCATTTTCCTTCTAAATCACATACTGTATTATTAAAGCACAAACAGCTGAAAGCAAAGAAAGCAGGCTGCATAATAGGCATGTGATTTTTATAGTAATTTCAGGCATTTAAACAATGGTGCCTGTTTCTTAGAACTAGCAAGGCAGGGTTTGAGAATTAAGAAATAGTCCCCTCCATGAATCAACTGTCAAAAGCATTTGAACACTTAACCCCCCACCCCAGCAATATGTGTTGTTAGCCCATTATTAGACACTGTAAAAAATCTCCAGCCTGTTTTAATACTAATCACAAAGTGTTCTTCTTTATTTTTTTAATTACTTTAAATTTTCCTTCAGCTCATTAAAACAGTATTGCATGCTAAAGAGTCTGAGAGTTTTGACATGGAACTTTCATACCAGCAGATGGAAATTGGTTTATACTATCTCATGCTGGGATCCTACACTATCCACTCCATTCATTTTTCAGCCAGGTGGTTGCTGCAAGGAATTCCAGTTTTATCAATATATTTTTGTGGCACTAGATAGTTCATAGCATTGGAAATAGAATTTGTAGCCTGTAAGTCTGAAGTCATATGTTTAGATCCAGCCAAGGCCAGTAATAATAGAAAATGCTTCAAAATGTCAAATATAGTATAATAGGCCCTCATACAAGCTGTCTCCCCAAATGATTTACCAAATGATAGCATGTAATAAACTGTTCACTAGTCTATAGCTTCTGGAAAAAATTGCATAGGAATTAAGAGATGTAGTCTCTAGATTTCTACCAAAATCAATCGGTTATTCTTTATTTCATTCTTTCTATACACTTTTCAAACCAACCCATAAATACAACATCACCCTAGTGGCAGATTTGTCTTTTGTTTGCTTACCAATTCTGCTATTTGTTTCACAACTCCAGAATATTCAGAAGTGTGGTAAATGATAAAGTGAATGTAAGAGGCTTAGCCTTGATCCCTATATTGAAAAGTTGACTCTCACTGATTAAAGATGGAGTTTTAGTAAACTTCAAGGCAGGGCTATTCAGTGAATTGCATCTAGATCAAGAATACTTAAGCTGGATTTCTTCAATGATTTGCCTAGAAACAGCCTCACAAACTCGCATCCTTGATTCCAAATACTGGATATTTTAGAGCATGACCAGAGTGAGTGATAGAAACTTGAAATTTCTGAAAGATGCTTTTAACTTTGCTACAAAACCAATTTTAAATTTACTAAGTAAGTGCATGATGAAATAAAGAATATATACTCTGTGGCGTATACAAACTCCAACTGCTTAAATTTATTACAAGTGGATACATTATGAGTATGATTAAGAGGCACTTTGCTTTGACTGATAACTCTATTTTAAATTAACTCAATTCTGTAGCCTTTTTTATTACTTTTTAATTCTAGCCTGAAGATGTTATCAAATATTATTCCCACTAGAGATTTTAAAATGTATAAATATCTGAAGATCAGAGGTTTCTGTGATTTTTGTCTCTCTTGGGTGGCGATGGCTGAGATGAAACTCCTTGTCACTTCATTTAGACAGTGCTGATTTCACTTTAATTTTTAATTTTTTTTTTCAGCTCTTCAGATGTAATACTTCTTTTCTATGCAGAAAACTATTTATATTCAGCAAGATTTCAGGTAGCCTATATTGCACACTCCTAGTTGAAATCTATCTAGTCTCTTATTTTGATTTCTGGAGAGAAATTGGGTTTGAATTCAATTTTATTTGTATAGCCATATTACCTAGAAGCCTCAAGTGAATTCAGCTCCATTGTGCTAGTTGCTGCAAAAGATACATAGCAAGAGAAGGTCCCTGCCTTGAAGGTTTTTTAGTCAAAATATATAAGACTAAAGGCTGAATAAAGTAAGTATTATTCTCCCTTTTTTACAGTTGAGGAAATGGGGCATAGAGAGATGAAAGTAATTCACCTTTAAAGGTAAACATTAAAATGCATGTCTCTTTCCTATGAGATATAATTTTATTAAAAGAAATGTTAATGCATGGAAGATTTTAAAATAAGAAACACATTTTATTTCAATGGGATCTTTATAACTGCATAAGTATAAGAGTAAATCATAATCTTAAAAGCTCTCCTATCACACAAAGCAGTAGAATGGGCTAGAACAATGAGGAGCTTTAACTTAGAGGTACAGTGTAATGATCTTGCTGTCATTCCTGGCAAGCCTCTGATACAAATTGCTAATGGATGCTCTTCTCCACTCTTCTCATAGTTCTCAAAGGTCAGGCTGGCAAGTATAGGAAAAGGCCCTTTAAGTGAACTCATTTTCAATTCATATTCAATTCTTTTTCTTAACCAATCTTTCCAAGTGTTATTTTACAAAGAGTAATTTCTATCTGGGAGAAACTTACCAAAGCTCACATTAGTTGGATGTTTTGATTTCTCTAGTACAGTGGTTTTCAACTTTTTTAGACTCAAGATGCTCCTTGAAAATGTCAATGCACCTCTTGATAGCTCAAGGCACCCCTTGGGAAATACCAGCTCTTCATTTTCTCTCCTTTTTTTTACTACAAAAAATAAGATCAACTCTTTTGCTGCAAAGAGCCCTGAAAGACCACAACAGGTTAGAATGCTTTTGATGCTATGGATTGCTGTTTGAAATCTTTGCGCTTATCTTGTGAATCAAGTTTGCACACCTAACAGTGCCAACATGATTCACAAGATAAGTCCAGAGATTTCGAGGCACCCTATAGTGCTGTAGAAACCTGGTTGAGAATCACTGTTCTAATAGAATTGAAGAGTGGGAGGTGACATGATAGCAGTTTTCAAATATTTGAAAGGATGCCATAAAGAAGATAGAGAAATACTTGGTTTTATTTGCTCCATGCAGGGCATGAGGCAATAATTTAAACTACAGCAAAGCAGATTTAGTTTAAACCTCAGGCAAAACTTACTAACTGTAAGAGGGGAAGGACAATGGAGCCAGGTGCCATGGGAAGCTGTAGAATCTCTGTTGCTGGAGATTTTTTCAAGAACGGGCTGGAAAAACTGATAGATTTGGGATGGTTTAGGAACAGCCTATCCTTCATCTGGGCAAGTGGTTGGTGTAGCTGATCTTTAAAGTTCCTTTCAACCCTATGATTCTAACTGTTACCAGCATCATGAAAGACACAGTTCTAAATTTTTCTTGTATTTTCTGGGGGAATGGACTTGCATGTTCAGACTCCCAGCTATTTTGTTATGGCTGCAAACAGCTGCAAGAAAAAAACCCTGCCATTCTTGTACATGTGTTAACTAACTAACTGTATGTGTGACTTTTTAGTTGTATGTATAAATATCTATACCACTTGGATACACAGTGACCCATATGAATTTGTGAGGTTTGGCCCTGTCATTAGTTCTAAGGGCATACATCTTCACTTTATATGACCACAGCTTAAACTGTGAGGTTTGAAAAATTTGTTCAGTGAGTTCTCCCACCCCCACCAAATGATTTAATCTCAAGGTTAAGTCATCTTTATTTTTAGCCACAGACTAGAGCAGAATCCAAAACTACTTGTGTTGCCCTAAGAACCAGCAGGGTATCTCTGGGTCTCCTCCCAAATGGAGAGAGAACAAATGGCAGGTCCAATATTGCCTTAAAATATGCTTCAGCTTTCTCGAAATAAGAACCCAATTATCTTCTCCAAATGAGAACCTATTTCTTTAATAAATCAGTTTTACTGAGCATTATAAAGTATTAACTCCAAGCACGCATATAGAAGTAATCTTAGCAAGTAAGTAATTGAATATTACCAGTCCTAATAATGCATATCTCAAGAGCTGGCCAGGCACCTCAGAGCAGGCCGGTTCCTTGAAGGGAGATCAGATCCGGTCAGTTCTTAGGCACTGTTAGGGTGCAGGGAAGGGGAAGGGGAGGGGAAAGGGGAGGAGAAGCAGAGAAAGAGAGGAAGGGAAAAGGGGGAGTGGTAATATTTATTTATAGACCCTTAGTCGCATAGCTACCAATTAGGACAAGTTTCTGTTTTTCATCAACAACTTGGGGTTTGTCTTTGCTTTATTGTTGTTTTTCTCTTCTTGGTACCAGGAGCCATTTGCTTCAGATGTGGGTGGAATGTGCCATAGCAAACCCTTTTATCTATAACAAGTGCTTTTATCATCAAACTCTTGCAGGAAAAAGAAAGCTGCATCCGACCCTTTTCTCTGTACAAAGCAGTTCATACAATCATATAACTCCTATGAATGCACTCTTAGCCTACTTATGTCAGGCTGCTCTAGGCCTTGCAGGCCTAAGGGACCATTTCAGTCCTGTCAAGCGTCAAGAGGCTGAACTGTCTCCACACTTGCGTCACATGTCGAGCCCGAGCCTTTCCTCAATTGGCATTATATCTTTTGCTCACTGCTGAAGACTTTCTTGCTATTCTTTATTATCCCACAATTTTAGAAGCCTTGCTCAAAGAAGTCCTGGCTTGTGGCCAGCGTTGGCTTCCCCAGTTTATCCTTTATTGAAACAGCCTTGGCCCTTTCTTTTTCTGTTTTTGTTTCTGGTTTCCTAAGCCAGAATGCAGCCTTTAGTCCTTTAAAGAGGAAATATATAGGTAATGATGATTTAACTTGGCATGATTTTCTGGGAACACATTGCTTAGATGGGATTATTGTTCTAGCTTTTATTTCCTGTAAAAGGTTTTGACAGTTGTGAAACAATAGGAATGTGAAAAATAATAAGCATACTGCTTTTAAAATAAGCCCATTTTCCTTTACCTTTACCTAACAAAACAGGGCCAAACCCAGGAATTCTTATGTCATATTAAACTTAAGTCATGTATGAGCTGGCCTAGCCATGCTGGTTAAAAGTATGAGGGAAAATCACCTCTCATTTGACACTTTTTCTGGTAATTCTTTCTCTGCCATGTAGATACAGGTTATACCAGGAGGAGAGGGCCCTTTTGCCAGTGTAGTTTCTTTCAGGAGATATTATAACTACTGGCTAAAGGATTCCTCTTGTTGGTATAAGACAGGGATGTCAAACTCATCAGGTCCAGTGAGCCAGATGAGAGGTGCAAGGCCAGCCAACAGGCTGAATGAGAACGAGTGGCATGGGGCCAGTGTGTGGACTGGATTAGGCATACAGACCAGTCTGACATGCTGGATCCAACACACTGGGCTGGCCCAATGCAGGTACCCTGGTCTGATCCTGTGTGCTGCAAGCTGCACATGTGCTAGAATTGGGCCTGCATGCTGTACATGTGTACCAAGATGGGGGTACCTGCATTGGACCAGCCCAGCGTGTTGGATTCAGCATGTCAGACTGGTCTGTAAACCTAATCCAGTCCACACACTGGCCCCATGCCACTCGTTCTCATTCAGCCTGTTGGCTGGCCCTGCACCTCTCATCTGGCTCGCTGGACCTGATGAGTTTGACATTCCTGTCTTGTACCAACAAGAGGAATCCTTTAGTCAGTAGTCATAACACCTCCTGAAATAACAAACTGCACCAGCAAAGGACCTTCTTCCTGGTATAACCTGTATCTACATGGCAGAGAGAGGATTGCCAGAAAAAGTGTGAAAAGGGAAGTGATTTTCCTTCATACTCTTAACCAACATGGCTAGGCTATTGTTCACTGCTTGCAGTGTGTGGTTCCAGTCCAGGACACATGGGTGGCACAGCAGACCAAATGATGGGCCTCTGCAGGCTGGGTCTGGCCCACAGGCCTTATTCTTGATACCCCGTACATAAGATATAGCCACCCAAGGAGACTTTGCTGGAATAGCTATCCTTTGTGGTCTCGAGCAGAAGTGGTCTCGAGCAACTCACCATCCAGATCCAGCCTTTGGTGCCATCTCACCCAGCTTTGAGGGGTCCACATGTGTCTGGAAATTTGGTGGCATAGGAGCAATGGGAGCCCTAGGCCCTGAGTGCTGGAATGGGTGCCCTATTGCAATGGCAGGCCCCAGGGCCTGATCCTGCCATGCATGGGCAGCGCTGGAACTCAGTGCCCAATCCTGGTGCATGAGAGCTAGCTGGGGTCCCATAGGGGCCCAGTCTCATCACATGGGCTTCAATCCAGCTCACAAACTGCTCCTGTGCCTGTACTCTGGCCCATGAGGCCAAAAAACTTGAGTACTACTGGTCTAGGGCAATGGGAGCCACAAATTATCCTGCACCTTCCCCAAGTGCCACGCCAGTCTCCTTTCCTGCCCCATCTGCTGCTCTGCTTTCTGCCCTATCTGCCTCTGTGCTGCCTGCCCCATCCCTGTTCTGCCATATTTTGCACACACAGGCTGCCCATGCCACTTGTGGCCCATGTACTGTAGGTTGGCCATCTCTGGGTCAGAGGATCCACAGGGTCTTTCATTCTCCTTCAGAATCTAACATCCAGTTGTTATTGGTTTTTGCCTGGCTACATTTTTTAAATAATCTTGATGAGCACATGGTACCAGAGACCTGCTTGGCCACAGTGCAGCCCTACTGAGGTAAAGTACTGCCCTAGCAGTTTGCCCACATCTCAAGGCTGGTCTTTGTAGCTGTTGCAACTACACTATTAGCTCAGATATGTCTACACAGGCTACAATTACACTATATGCAGCCATGTAGACATCATTTTCCAGCTGTCTCTAGCTCTTGCCTTTTCAACAGCAAAAGTGCCTGGGGACATTAAAAAACCACAGGCTCCTGACTCTTCAAGCAGACATATAAGTACCATATGTGATCTTATGAATACCATTTTACTTGGTCAATGACTTTAAAACTTCCTCTGTTGTTAACAGTTTTATCTGTCTTCTCAATCCACTATATACGCTACACTTGCAGGTGGGAGTGTGGGTGGCTTGGTGACTGTTCTTGTGGTTGCGTTTTGAAATGCTAAAATGGGACTTTTGATGTTAAAAATTGTGTACCGGGCCGAGGGTCTTGGTTCAGCACTGGTTCCTGTCTCTTAGTTTGCTATTGTAACTATAGTTACCGCACTTTCATTAGTGTTAGCATATTCCTCAGCAGTTTCCCTTTGTAGAATTAATGGATGGACTTTCAAATACCAGTAAAATGAAAGTGACCTTTATTGTATTTGCCTCTGACAGTTTTTTTTTTTTTTTTTTTTTTTGGGGG